CAAATTCTAACAGACAGCTAACACAGACAGGCACACCAGTTCTGTTCCTTTTTAATTTAAAACCCTAAGGGGATTTTACTTTATAGTTTCATAGAAGTGAGTATTACCAGTAACAGGTTATATACTTTTAAGTATGAAGAGTTAATGTACCTTTGCTTATGTTGCTATTATTGGCTAGAGGTAGACATGTATTTTAAACACAATTTTGTATTCTCTGAATTGATAAACTGAAATCGATATTATTAATTATATGCTCCACAGTTCTTGTATAGATCTCAATAGGTTTTGAAAGCAACAAAAGGCACAAATGAATGCAATACCAGCATCTCAGGCAATTCAAATGTACTGAGTTTTCTTGATTGGTACAGGCTACCATACTATTGGACTGATTATCTTAGAAACATATTCCCAAGGTCAAAATGAAAACTATCGGTTGCTTCATTTGCAGATGGTTACTAAATTTTGAGATTTACTTTCTAAAGCCTAAATTAAACATTCCAACAGACATGAAGAGCTTAACCCAAGGCCTGTTTTCCTAGATGAAAACAAGGGTGACCAACAGTAAACCAGAGGCTCCTCTGGGACTTATCTCCTCTCAGTTCTAAAATCCCACTCCCGCTCTTCCCAACCACACAGAATTGCAATGCTTGCCAACACTCTTTAACTCGTGCATTACCCTGCTTTCTTCAATGGTCCACAATAAGACAAACACAATTGAACCTCAAGGTTTTAAAAGGCACTGGGAAATTTTTGGTTGAAATGAATAATCACTATCTTTGTTTGTGCCCCAGCTTTGTTCCAGAAAGAATGTTGAGACAGCTATAATCATTACCTAATTGATTTTTCTCGCTCCCACGCCCCTCTCCTCCTCTATGTAAGCTAACATCTTCATGCTGATTTGGCTTTAAATGAGAAGCAAGTACACATTCATATTTATCAAGACAATAGTCATCTCCCAAAGGATGAGGCATGATTTATCCATCCAACAAACATTTATTGGCCAAGTCTATATCTAATGGGGAATACAAACAAACAGGCAACTACAACAGAATGAGATAGACAACGGGGATACAGAATGCTCTGGAACATACAGAAGGGACAGCTGATCCAGCCTGGGAGGGTCAGAGAAGAGTTCCAGAGTAAAGGTAGCTGACAGCTCAAGAAAGGAACAGCAAACATCCCTGAGGAGTCGGGTGGATCAATGCAAGTGGTATATCTGAAGGGGAGACTTCTCAGTCCAGGGGTCACTAGCATGTATTTACCATGACACTCCCATAGCCCACAGATTGACTGCAGTTCACCTACACACATGCATCTATACCAGATTTCCAGTTCATTTTATTTCTGTTAACTGTCCTCTTCTGTTTTACTGTCTTTGCTAGTCTTCTAGCTATTGAAATTTTCAACTCAGCCCAGCAAACATTCATCAAGAGCTGATGTGGGAAAGAGTATGACAAACGCTGGGCTCTGGGACAAGGCTACTTGACCACAGAAGTGCAGAACTAAGCAAAGCCATGTGACTATCAATTGATCCAGTCTGCTCCTCACAGACCTTTCAGAGTTGACCCAGCTCTAACAATCCTATGCTAAGTTTATCTTAGGTGTGACACATTTTTCTGAACCCCAAGTCTGTCCTGTCCTAAAGACCCAAAACTCCTTCCCTAAATTCTTTTCTTGTGGTCCTTTTGGGATTCTTTCCAATGTAGTACTTTTCCTGCTTCAGAGAACACTGGTATTTTTCAACTCATTTGTACATGTCACTATGGACATATACCACAATGCTGGGACCAAGACAGGTAATACATTTTGGCCATTTGCCCTTCCAAAACTCTGTAAACTAAGAGAATAATTGGGTAAAACCAGTTTTCAATGTCTTCCAATCCTGAGCTTTTATGGTTCTATCATAAAGGAAGCCACTTTTCTATGAGAACTATATATCAGCAAAATTGTCCCAACTTAAGATGTTACTATAAAGGAAAAGTAGGTGGACATTTCAATGATATTTGCCAACATACACCACCAATAGGCAAGACTACTGTTGCCTATAAGAGCGAACTGGGCCTGGACCATACATGGTATATATTTTAGAAACAAAGGCACAGGGTTTTGCTTTAAATGATCAGCAACTAAAGACAAAATTTGAGAAATGAATGACTTAAGTATTTGGGGTTGCACACTGCACATTTGAGAATATGCAATCATTTACTTATCCTTCCTAGAAATGAATATTCATTTCTTGAGCTCTTAGAATTAGAAAATATAAAAATTATGCTTCATCTTTTTAGGCTTGGTTTGGTTTGTCCTCTGTTTGGACAGGGTCTCAAGCAGCTCAGGCCTTGAAAACTCTATGTAGCCAAGGATGACCTTGAACTCCTGAACCTTTAGTCTTTCCCTATCCAAGCGCTAAGAATATAAGTGCTAGGTTTTTTCAACAGTACCAAGACTATGCCTACATGCGAATGCAACATAACCTCATGCACTTCTTTAGTACAACACATTTTACATGTCCAAAGTGGAGATTTATCAATAAAATACACATCTTCACAATATATCTTAAAATTTATAGTTCAAGTTATCATCAAAGCATAAGGAAGATACGGCCACATCAGTCAAAGCCTGCACCAGGTGTGATCACTAGGGAGAGCATGCTGCACGTCTCCTTGCTCTTGTGAATGAATGTTTTCTTCTAGCACTATGGAAGCAGCCCTAAGGCCACAGGCAGTTCTTGGCAGCAAAGAGCTAACCATCTGGGTACAAATCAGGCTTCTACTGTTTCGTGACTACGTGACCCCAGCAAGCAATGTAACCTAACTGGGCCTTAGTTTCTTTATATAAAAAAAGAGAATCATAATACCACCTTCCTCCTAAGGTTGTTGTCATATTTCAGTAGGCATGAGGTGTCTTCCTCACTTAACTTCAATCCCATTAACCCTAAAACCTGTTACTTTAAAGAATTCTGAATGAGTTACTGGAATGCAGGAAAACAAACATGAGGAAGCCACTGGGTCCCAAAGAGAAAGATTTTGTAATTGTTGTGGCTCAATTGGTTGAGTCATACTTAATTAAGCCTGGAATTTTCAAGGACAAAAACAGAGCTTCCCCCATAGGACACCTAAGACAAGAAAGCAGTAAGTAGTATCTGAGGTAAAGAGCTCTGGCTTTTGAGGTGTGGTGTGGCCACACTGACTCGCTTTGTTGAAGTGGGAGGAGTGTAGGATTCCTCCATCAACCAGACACAATCTCACATTATCCTTCTCAATATTTCGGGTCTACAGTTAAAACTAGAGTCAACCCCTCTGAACTCTGTACAAACCTGGAACACTGAGATAGGAAGGATAAGAAGAGAAGTGGAGTCCAGTGATCAGTTGGTAAGAATGACTAAGTAGCTGTCAACATCTAAATGAACGACAGATTATATGAGGTGGGGGCTACACAGTAAACCCCTCTATCTCATCCATGACATTCATTGCTACACTATCGGGCTAAATGCTAATATTGTCACCCATGCAACATCAATCTCATCAGAAAGAGAACAACCCAACACCAGAAAATACAAGGGGGATTCGAAGACAACCAGTTCAGAACTTGTGAGTCATTCAGAAATAGTCAAACAGGCCAAACCACACCAACATCACATTTAAATATATATATATATATCTCCACTAAAAACAAACAGGTGACTTGCCTGAGTTCAATGCACACAATTAATGAATGTTAGGATCATATTCTGAGTCAGGTACCTGCTGGATAAGCAAAGACCTCTAATTTTCACTGAGAAGGTTCTATCTTTGCAGACCACACCTGCAATGTCACCAAGAGCTTACCGCCCTACTCAATAGTATCTTGACCCTAACATAGTAGCAGGGAAGGCCTGAACTGAGGTACGTGGGGGAAGGCCAATGGAAAAAAGGAAAAGTCTGTGACACTCAGCCATGGCAGAGGGAGCCAGGGTTGCTGGCTCCTGCATTCAACTCTAAGACCTACAAGTCACATTGCCTCTGCTCCTCCCATGAGGCCCTAGACACTTCACACTCTTTCCTAGGAACACTGCTTCAAGCATGCCAAATGTTCTGAAACTCAGTGTCAATAAGCTGGGATGAAATACATGGTCCTCACTACTCTGAAGGCCATCACTAACAAAGCCTGAGCCAGGCGCATAAAGTCAGGTGCAAGCCTGCTCTATCCTCCTCTCTTCAGCCCACAAATATGTCACTGTGTCACCTCTAACCACTCTCTCCAACTGAAAAAAGTCCTTCTTTTTCCCACATGTTCCTGTTCACCCAAATAGTGATTCTGTCACCAGGCTTTCTGTCTCGCACAGTCCCTTGATTTGGGATGTGTTGAAAGATACACTGGACACTGGACGAATTAAGAACTCACATGATCCTCTCTGATATTCAGAATCTCCCTGGAAAAGTTATGTTTACAGAGAGCATCTTTTGCCAAGACCCCTCACTCTTCACTATACAAGCAAAGTCCTGGGTACTAATTGTGCATCGGCCACCTCCCATGCTATAGAAAGGAGGTCACAGTAGGAAACCTGCCCCCCCCATAGGAAGCAGATTTGCAATGGCCCGGTGCCTGAGCATTCAAGTATTCTGGGAGTAGGGACTGGGATGTCAGCATCAATAGGTGGGGTAGGGGGAAGAAAGGATACCATTTGGGCAGAGTGACTTATGGCACTTGTGGAACCGGGTATCTGCTTTCTAGCCAGTTCTCTGTGTCTGTCATCTTCTGCCACACCACCCCCAATCTGTTTGCCAAATACCTCAAGATGTTTCTGGGAGGTTCTGAATTATTGACAAACTTGGGGAAGACGTTTTGGAAAACATCAAGTATAAAAACAGACCTGTACAGCTAGTGCAAACACTTGGCAATCAGCAGTTTCCTTTTTAAGGCCAAAAGGGGGAGGGGGAGCTGCCTTGGCTAAATAATAATGATATTCACAGAAGAGCAGACACTGAAATTCCAAAGTTCAGGATCTCTGCAGCTCTACTCACCCCTAGCCATCTCGCTCCTTTATTGGCCGCCTGTTGAATCTGGACTCTTTTGAGGGTGACATGGTAAACAGCTCCTTCCTCTACCTCTTCACCCCAGTCCTGAATCGAGCTCTGCCAGGGATGGGATAAAGAGAAAGAAAAAGAGGGTTTTTTTTTTTTTTTTTTTACTCTCTACTAACCACAATCTATCCCAGCTGCTTCGCTGCTTACAACAGCACTCAGAGCACAAGATGGGCTGTTCAAAATAAATATCCCAATCAGAGCAATACAAGACACCCTGCGATAGAGGCCAGGCTGAGATTTTCTTGGCCCACAGCCCTTTCCTGTGGTATTCACCGACTTCTCAGTTTAGTTATTTTCCTAGATTGGCTCACATATCTTAAATCAGCGTTTTAAGTCTTTTCTTTTTCTTTTCTTCATAAAGAAACTGTGGTTTAGTCCTGATTAATTCTGCCCTGTTAAGTGAAAGGAAAAATAACTCATTTGTAAAAACAAAACAAAACAAAAAAATACTGTCTTTCTATAAGTGACTCAATCCTTTGCGCAAACTCGATTTTAAACGCACACAAACAAGTGTTTAAACGCCAAGAGCAAGAGCCCTCCTTTGGAAGTGAAGGAGTTTTCATGACATTTTCTCCTCTTACTGTTTTGGAACCCAAAAACTTAGGGAGTGCGGAAAGTTTTTATTCCCGTAGAAAGCTCTGGCAAGTGCAGAGAAAGCAACACAGCCTCATGGGGCGTCCACAGCAGTTTTAGCTGCGACCCCCAGGATGGCTATCGCCAGCCACATCTTAGCTTTGGGTTAAAGAGCCGCCGGGTCTAGGGAGGCAGAGCGCTCCGCGGGCTGCCTGGACTAACAATTCCCTTCCCTTCAAAGTTTTGCTCTCCTGACACGCATCTGTCGTCCCAGACACCCCGCAGGCAGGCGATGGCTGGGAAATCAGGCACCGTCTCTAGGCAGAAGAGGGGCAGAGGGGAGGGATACAGAGCAGAGAAAGCTCGGGATCGGCTGTCTGATCACTTCCACCACAGCCCAAACTCGGCCTGAGAAAGCGGGAGACTGGGAAGATTCCCCCAGCAGAGAAGCTTCGGGAGAGGGCGGAGAGCCCGCGTTACCATTTTAGCTTGCCAAAGCAATTTCATTCTCAGTTTTCTCTCCGGTTCGCAGGCGCTGCATGGTGCGCCCTGCTCCAAGCGGCCGCGGCGTCTGCTGCCCCGGCTCCGGGTTCGAGCGGCCCCGGCGCGCTCCCACGCGCCCTGCTGCCCCGCCGCCGCCGCGCGACTCGGGCCACAAAGGAGCCAAGAGCCAGCAGCGAGCAGCCCGCGGCCGCAGACTCCTCCCCGCGCCGCCGCTCCGTGATGTCAGGCTTTCCTGTTTGTGCTTGCGAGCGCACTCTCCCTTTCTCCCTTTCGGAAGTCCCGCGGATAAAGTCAGCGTGAAATCATTTCTCTAGCTCAGGAGCAATGGGGGCGGGGGGGGGCGAGGCTTTCGAGTTGATCGGGGTTTCCTGATGGCCACCAGGTGCCAAAGTAGAACCATGTGTGCCAAGGGGGTGTGTGTGCGTGGTTTCTGCTTGCCTTGCAGAAGGGAAGCGAGGGGGATAGAGTCAGGAACACTTGTGTTATCTGCCTGCTATCTGCTTGGAATTTAGAATAATTAAATCAGAGTGAACCCAGTTCTAAGGAAGTTTTTCATTAGGTTTAAGTCAGAGGATACCTGCGTATCCAAAAACCATGCACAGAGGTTCTACCCTGCCCTGAATGGACCAACTACCTAGACTTGTCTCTACTGCCCATTCCTGTTTATTTGTCTGCTTGCTTGTTTTCTTTTTTGAGTCAGGGTCTTGCTATGTGGCCCTGACTAGCCTCAAACTTGCTATGTAACCAAGGCTAGGCTTAGAACTTGTGGAACTTCTGTGGCGGTCCTCCTGCCTCTGTCTCCAGCGGGCTGGGATTACAGGAATGTACCACCTCCACCAGCTCTACCACCCATTCTGATAGGGCATAGTTACTGCCTCACTGGCTACCCTGGATGGGAGGAGACAAAGCTGGGAAGGGTTTGCTGGACCCAATAGAATGTGGCATGGGCCATCCCAGAGTCTGAGGGTTTCTGGAGTCCCTGTGAGTAGCCATGGTCTTCTGTCTGCCCTGTGGGGACACAATGGAATAATTACTGCAGGGAAAGCCCTTAAAGGACACTACAGATCCTTAACAAAAGGATCTTTACTGGGACAATACGTTAGTTTTTGTTTTAATCCAGTTTTAATAAGTCAACAGCAAGAGATAACAGATAACATTGCTTTTTGTTTTAATCCAGTTTTAATAAATCAACAGCAAGAGATAATAAATAACAATACAATCAAGTTTGGCACCTGCCAGAACTCTCTGCTCATTACAAAATGCTTAGGGCTCATATGTTTGACATGAATCACCTCCAATGAATTCAATAAAGACCTCTTGCTAATTGCCACTCTAAGGTGTAGCACTGAACTTTGGTCAATAATAAATAGATCACGAGCTGAAAAGTCAGGGAATCAAGTGCACTGATGTCCCCAGGAGAACAGAAGAAATGACAGCAAAGGCACACCAAGGCAAACAAAGAGATCTTTGCATGCTTGAGAATGTCTTCAAGTCATTCAATCAAGTTCCCTACACACAGCCAGAAGCTGCAGGTTTCCATGTCTGAGTAGAAAGGATCCTTGCTATCAACCCTGTTCCTGTGATTTAAAAATAAAACAAAATACATAGCCTTGATCCTTCTGTCACATCAGGACAAAGTGTCTCAGGAGCCAGAGAGATAGCATGCAGTGGCCCTACCTCCCTGCTGGTTAAGCTTTCCTCAGGCCCCAGGCCACCCTGGGAGGACCTATTTGATTCAGAAGACCACAAGAGGTACTGAGAACAAGTACACAGGCCTTGAGACTAATTTCTCCATCCACTTTAACTTAATTCAGGCTACAAATTTAGGAATTATTGAAAAATTTTCCTTCATAGATAAGCACTTTCTTTAGTGAATCTTTCTGGAGAAGCTTGGACTTGACAAGCTCCACTCAGGTTTCAGCTCACCCCTCCCTCTCATCTCTTTCCACCAGTCTCTGGGCTGGACACCTGGTGTGAACAGCATCCAGTTTAAATCCAAACTTAGAGTAAGAGTGAACTTGGACACTATTTCCCTTGCCTCCCCTTAGCTTCCTTGGCTGTAAAATGGAGCAAATATCTACCTCACAAAGTGTCAAAGGATTAAATGAAACAGCATAAGCTAATCATCTAGCACATGGAAGTGGCCAAAGAAACCTCCATTCTCTCTATGCATGTTTCAATCTGAAAATCCAGAGAGGTCAAGAAACTAATAAATGGCTATGGGTTCGGGGCAGGGGGCTTCTGGGAAGGGGTGGTAGAATACAGTGATATGAAGGGGGAAAGGGGAACTCTAGAGTAGGAAGGGTTAAATGGAGTGGGAAATGGGAAGAGAGGGCAGAGGAGAGGAAGTATGGGGAGGGATAAGCAACACTAAAGGTCTTTAGGAAAAGCCATATGGAAACCTACTGCTACAGAAGCTTCTTAAAGTACAAACTTATACATTATAAAAATAGAGGAATTAAAAGGAATTATCCTATAGCAGGAAGACAGTGCGCCTTCTAGACATCATAGGCTAACAACAACAACAAAAAAAAAACCCTCAATAGCAGGAATGGACTCCTCCAGATCTTGATGGGTCCTATTGATTCTATTGCTAAAGACACTACACACATGATCTATAGAAGAAACAAGGAGAAATCAAGCTGGTGCTGACTTCAGAGCCTCACCTCTACTGGCTAGTATTCATAGTGCTGGGAGGTGTTATGCAAGCTACTGAAGGAAAAAAATAATCATCAGCCCTACCCAGCTGTGAATTCTGTGAACTATAAAAACAATTGGCCTGACAAGATATGCCTACCAGTGCAATACTGGCATGGCTATTATGGGAGTAACCAACCATTCTCTAATTGAATTTAAGGTCGAGTTCCTAGAATGCAGCCCATACCTGACATTGATATCAGACTTAGGAACCTGAGGCTAGACAGATCACAGACATAGAACCTGATACTAGTTTTCTACTAAATAGTAATTGTATTAAACTGACTCCTATTAACTTATTGTTATACCCATAGATTAATGCATCTCTCAACTCTCATTAGAGAAGTGTCCTTATGCAGCAGATGATGATTAACACAGAAACCCATGACTGGCCAATGTGCAGAGAACAAGAGGCTTAGCCCTGAATAGGTCACCTATATCAAATTTCTGCCTCCCAAGGCTCAGGGATCATTGAGGAACAGGGGGTAGAAAGACTGTAAGAGCCAGAGGTGGTGAACAAACACAAGGAAATTAACTTTTCCAGAGGGCTGATCAGTTACTATGAACTTACAGCAATGGTGAAAGCATGCACAAGTCCCATGAAAGTTTAAACCAGACAAAAATCCCAGCATAGACCTGGGGAAATGAATAAGAAAACCCAACTCACCCTAAGAAGATTTTGGCAACTGATGGCTACTGGGAGGGGAGAGATAGTCTCTTTCAAGTCATCAAATATATTATCAAATACCATCAAATTATATTGTATGAAAATTGCAAAATTAAAAATATATATATGTATAAAACCTATATATATTCTCTCCCTACTGCACTTCCTCCTAAACTGTACAGACCCAGACTCCATGAGGAGTTGTGTATCTGCAATGTGGGGAAATCCGAAATGATGTCTTCTAAGTTACATTCAAAGGATTATTTGTATTTATACCTGAAAATGTGTGTTTTTATTCAAATCATTTTCTGAACAAACAAAAATGATAACAACAACAAAACTGGCTTTCTTTGATACAGAACAATCAAATGTTGAATTAAATGAGTTCTTAAATTTTATTTCAAAATATTTCACCCTTAGACAGTGTAATCAATATTACCTTATTACCAGGGCTTTTGGATTAAAGTACTAGTCAGTATGTGTGGAATAAACCTGCAACCCATTTATGAGTCAGTTTATTAACCATATTACTTTACCTATAATCTAGCAGGCCACCAAGAGGACAAGTTAACTTTGTTAACTGTCTTGTAATTTTTGTTGTATGCCT